GACCCCAACGATCCATTAATGCCTCAAGTCTCAACCGGTTCCCAAACAGCACCAATTCCATCTCGAAAGCACAGAACACCCACTGAAGACGCCACGTTCGGTCACTCCATCAGACCTCGCCATCTCCAAGTTGGCTTTACAAGACTTTTTACCCTCACATTTACGGACTCGAGCGTGACTGTATTTTACCCACCCCCCCAAAGCCAACACCGGGGCTCCCCACCTGAGCCTGCAAACTAGGGCGGCCCTCGCATTGCCGAACCCCTCCGACTGGCCGGGGGGCTAACGAGCATTGATTCCGGACAATTTAATCAATGGCATCGCCACTGCCCCCCGTCCCGCCATGGCCCTGGCTAATGTCGGGCCAGCAGGACAGTCTCGGGGCCCCGGGGCAGAAAGCCTCGCGGCCTCGGCACGGATGACTACGGATTGCCCGCCACAACCCGCCTAACACTCACCGGCTGCGATCCAGCGATGGCCGCAAGAGGAAAGAGGTCTATACGCGACTTCCGGTTCTGTAAGTTGCCGAGAGATCCCGCGAGAGTCTCGGAACGAGAAGGGAGAGGAGAAGAGAACGAGAAGAGGAAGTTAGGAATGGCGGATCAGTGCCACCCAGCGGCTGGGAGGGGAACTGCGAGGGGTCCGGTGTCCTTCCTTGGAGGGGTGGGTGCGAGGCTCGAGGCTCGAGGCTCCACGGGAGGCAGTGGCCCCGAACGACCCCAGTCTCCCACTCCTGGGCGCCGGGCGTCCCCCTAACCGGGAAAGCGCAAGTCCTATTTTGCAGCCAAATGGCTCTGGGACCTTGGCCAACCGGTTACCTAGGTGACGGGAGGTCGTCCTTATAATTAGCTCCAGCCGGCCGTCCCCGTAGCTGGGTAGGTTCTGACTGCTCTGGGTCTTTCTCGAGATTACGATCGGTCCCCATCTGGGATGGTTGGCTGGTGTTGACGAGGTTCAGCTCACGCCTAAGGAAACAGACACGGGAAGACTGTCAGTGCAGACTAGTGTACTTTACAACTACCAAACACTTCCGCCAGCTCCCGGGCCAGGGGGTCCGCTTCGCTGCAAATGGATTCATCGGTTTCTGTTGAATGAATAGTACAGGTGTCATCCTGACAGGAGACACATATTTCGTAAGACACGGGAGCTTACTGAATTTTAGGCACACTCTTCCACGCCCTTTACATTACTAACGACTTTATGCTGATGCGGGTGTATACAGATGCGGTAACTGAGCCATAGAGCAATGGGAGGACACACAGGACCTAGGACTTACAGCAGAACCCATGAGGCTGTCTCCCTAGGCCCCCTGGAAACTATATGGCTCCGTTTGTAGGAACCTTCCGTCAAGTTGAAGAGAGAGAAACCACACCTTTGAGGGTTCAAAGTTGAGTCATGTATTTTCATGATTTTAAAATAGTTGTGCTATTAAATATTCTGTAAAGGAAGGAGCCCCAATTTTATATGTAATTGAAAAATTGGAAGCTGAGCGTGATGGCACACACCTTTAATCCCAACACTCAGTGGACAGAGGGAGGCAGATCTCTGAGTTTGAGGCCACCCTGGTCTTCAAAGTGAATTTCAGGATAGTAAGGTCTCAGAAAGAAAAAAAAAGGAGAGAAAGAAAGAAAAGAAAAAAATATAAACTGAACAAAATCCCTGGCGGTTAATCCCAGAGGCAAGCAGACCTCAGTAAGTTCAAAGCCAGCCTGGTCTACAGAGTGAGTCCCAGGACAGCCAGGGCTATACTGAGAAATCCTGTTTTCAAAAACAAACAAACAAACAAATAATAAAAATTTAAAAATTGAGCAAAACCAGCAATTCTCTTCAACAAAAGCTTAGGAGCCCCCTTCATGGGCTAACCTCGAAAAACGGAGTGACGAGATAATTCCAGATTTGTTCTTTTTTTTTTTTTTGTTTTTTTCGAGACAGGGTTTCTCTGTGGTTTTGGAGCCTGTCCTGGAACTAGCTCTTGTAGACCAGGCTGGTCTCGAACTCACAGAGATCCGCCTGCCTCTGCCACCCGAGTGCTTCCAGATTTGTTCTTGCAGAAATCCTGATTCAAGAAGGCAGATAGACAAGGGAAGCAGCAAGTTCAGGATCACAGGGAACTTGAGCCAGCTGCCCTTAGCTCTGGGGTCAGGGAGACTTTCGAGGTGAGGTCAGCCTTGACTGAGTTTTGGAGAATGTTAAAATTAGCTCCACAAGGCAGTAGGATAGCTTGAGGGAAAAGATGAGGCGAGAGGCAGACAACATTTTTGCAGGAACTAGGTTCTGTGGCTAAAGAGAGAGGCATTTATTTAAAGGGAAGTCCAGGGGTTCTAGGGCCTGAGGGAGCCACCGCAGCTCCCGCCCTTCCCGGAGTCCCTTCCTCCTTTTCAGACTCACTAACTTGCTTTCAGGAAGAGCATTTTAGTTTCCTTAACAATCAACCCCTCCTCCCCGAAACTCGCTCACCGTCTTCCTCTCCTCTTCCCCAGCTCCTGTCACTCTCTGCGGACGCCCCGCCCTCCTTACTTCCTCAGTCAGCGGGTTCTGATTCCTCACAACGATCCCTTGAGCTCAGGCTTTGGACTGCACCGCCACTGTCTTCAGCGGGAAGCTTGTTGTGCAAATTGCACAAAGAGGCAAATTGCCAGGAGCCGAATTATAGTCTGCTTATCGCAGTGCCTGCTGGGTGTCCTGGCTCCACCTTCTTTCTGTCTTCTCTGCCTTCTTACCTGACTCGAAAAAGATCCTTTAAGATGATGGCTCTGGGATCATTTTGAAGCAGGTCTTTGTAAAGTTGAGACTCATCGAAGCAGGGATTTTTAGCCATATTTCACACCTAAATTGAACTATACATGTTTTTCTAGACACCAAGGCATCATAGTCATTCATGTATGCATGTTATGCATCACACAAATTTTATTCTATTTTATTATTATTATTTGTTTTTATGAAACAGGGTTTCTCCAGGTAGCCTTGGCTGTCCTAGAACTCACTCTGTAGACCACAGGCTGACCTTGAACTCAAAGATTCACCTGCCTCTGCGCCAGAATACTGGGATTAAAGGTGTGCACCACTACCACCTGGTCACTTTTTAAAATTTTAATTAATTAATTAGGGTTTTTTTTTTTTTTTTTTTTTTTGTTTTTTTGAGAAATTCTCTGTGGTTTTGGAGCCTGTCCTGGAACTAGCTCTTGTAGACCAGGCAGGCCTCAAACTCACAGAGATCCGCCTGCCTCTGCCTCCCGAGTGCTGGGATTAAAGATGTGCGCCTCCACTGCCCAGCACAACTTTTACTTTTTTATGGAGCTCTTCTCTTTTAGGTATATGCATACTATTTACTAAGTTCTGTGAGCTCTAGTGTCCTCTGAAGGAGCACTTTGCCCAGGAGAAGACATAAGGCAACAACAACAACAACAACAAAAAACTTCCCACAATGGCCCCAGGAAGAAGATGGGATGCTGTGTGTGTAGGAACCATAGCAACAGTCAATTCACCTGAGGTAAGGGGCAAGAAAGACTCTGTGGTCACCTTTTTATTGTTTCTGGAAAGTCAAGCAGGGGAAGTAAGTTCTAGTGTCTTCATCTGTCACCTGTCTGTCAAATTTTATCTTTCTGTGCTGTAAGCAACTACCTTTCCCAAGATAGTTACTTAAGTGATACAGTTTTAGGACAGTAAGGGAAAGAAAGGGAAAGGGGAGTCAAAGCAAACACATTGAAGCCGGGTGGTGGTCATGCACGCCTTCAATCTCAGCTTTCGGGAGGCAGAGGCAGGTGGATCTCTGTGAGTTTGAGGCCAGACTGGTCTCCAGAGCAAGTTCCATGATAGCCGGGGTTACACAAAGAAACACTGTCTCAAAAATCAAAACAAACTAACAAAAAAAAATCAAATACATTGAATGATGGGACCCAAAGAAATCCATAAGAATTTAGGAACAGCAGTGAGATGAAGCGGTTTTTGTACCTCTTGGTGCCTGTTACTCATAACATGTCGTGTGTCTAAACCAGACAAAGCAGCCCTACAGAGTCAGTACCTGACATTTCTTTGGTTTATTTGTTTTGCGTAATAGGGTTTCTCTGTAGCTTTGGAGCCTGTCCTGGGACTTGCTCTGTAGACCAGGATGGCCTGGAACTCACTGAGATCCACCTGTCTCTGCCTCCCGAGTGCCTGGATTAAATAAAGGTGTGCACCATCACTGTCCGGCTCACCTGACACTCTTAAACCATAGAACCAGCGCTTTGGCAGTTCTCTAATGTTCTTTTTAAGGTTATTTGTAATTCTATATATTGTTTATTTTCCATGTATAGGTGTTTTACCTGTACACATGTTTAGTCGACACGTGCGTGCCTGGCGCCCGTGGAGACCAGAAGAGGGCTTCAGGTGCCCTGGGACTGCAGTTCTAGATGTTTGTGAGCCGCCTAGTGGGTGCTGGGAGTTGAGTCTAGGTCTTCTAGAAGAGGAGCCAGTGCTCTTAACTGCTGTGCCATCTCTGCAGCTCCATTTAAAATGTTATTACTATATGTGTCTGAGTGTTTTGCCTGCATGTATGTGAAAATGCCACATTGAATGTGTAGTACCCATGGAGGCCAGAAGAGGGCATCAGGTCCCTTGGAACCACCCTATGGGTGCTGGGACCCATCCCATGTATTCTGGAAGAACAGTAAGAGCCTTTTCTCTAGGCCTCAGATATTCTTGAGATGGTCTCCTATCCCGGCAAGAGTAGTGTACACTAAAAACTATCTTTAGTGTTGATTATTTTTCAATTTTATATAATTTATTTTTCTTTCTTTGTGGTGCTGGGAATTGAACTCAGGGTCTATCTCCCGCTAAGCACTTTCTCTACCACTGAGCTGTCCTCCCAGCCCTCTCTTCAGGTTTTGGGTAAACATTTACTTGACTTAAACGTCCAAAACCATAAAAGACAAAGTGAGGTCTTCCATCATCCCATCAGTTTCTCATTCCTTTCCACAGTTAATCATAGTTATGAGTTGTTTCTCATTTTTCTCCTTTCCCCAGGTAGTGCACATATGAACAAGTAGGAATATATTTATTTATTCTCCTTTCTACATAAATCAGAATGCACAGGACAGAGTGGCCTGTGCCTGGCTCACCTCTTCAGGACCCTCGGTCCTGGCCCTCGAGGTTAGTAGCAGGTGTCTGTTGAGTATCACTCGGGGTTTCTAACCTTTGTTACTGCAAATACAACCTTTGTGTGAATGCCACCACACAGCTAGACAGCGGCACCAAGAAGACACATTTCTAGACACAAATTGCTGGGCCAAAGTGGAAGCTTTGAGTGATATGTGTCGGATTCCACTTGATAAGGCTTTATAAGTATGTATAAATATGTATCCCCACCAACAGTTCACCTGCGGGCGCCACCCCACCTCACTGGCACAGCAGGACTTGGTAGGACTAGTAAGATAAGTGGTAAACGGAGGCCAGTGGGTTTGGTTTCCATTTTTCCCCAGTGAGATCTGTATATCAGTCTAGAGACTCACCTCAGGAGTCTACACGTGTTGCCAGGTCTCGGACTCTGAGAAAATATATACTTTTATTTGAAAAATAGCTTTAGACATTGTTTTGAAAATGAAAGAAGCAGCCTCTACAAGTTGCAGCCGAACAATACGAAAACATCACAGGAAGTCTGGGAAAGACTCAGAAAGGCCCCTGACACTGACTCAAGCGGCCTGCCAGAGGGGGACACCGACTCAGAGTCTGCAAAGTCATGTGCCTTTTGTTTCTGTAATAAATATGGCCCACCTCCCACAGCCTACCTGCTCCCTCCACATACACACAGCCCCTGTGTTCTCTACTCTTAGGCGTATAAAGCAGCTGGCGAGTACTTGAAAACAGCCCCGCTTTGTTGCGAATGTCCCCTGGAGGGCGAGCCTCTTCCTTGAGGGTCCCCAGATGTCAGCCATGCAGACAGCTGAGAACTAACTAGGAGGCTCAGCGTTATTTCTTTTCGCGCAGACAGCAAACCTCTCTGGAGAAGGGGTTGAGTAGCAGATGGGCTTGGGTACTGGTACGCCCTGGATGCCGGACCCCTCCTCCTTGGGACAGTTGCTGGAAGTCCCTGTTGTTTTCAGTCACAAGGGACTGGCGTCCTTGAGGACTTTCAGAGGCTTCACCGGTGAGGTGCCCAGCCACTCCGTTGCGCAGCGCCCGGCTCTCAGCATTTGTTGAGACAGCAGTGTCCCCGACAAGCACAGCTGCTTGCTTCCCCACCCTTCCTCGCCCAGCTCAGCCCTCGAGAATCCACCTGGGAAACTGGCCCAGCTGGTGCGGCCTCTAATGAGTGGTTGGGTCATGAGGAGGTGGACTTGGCAGGGAGGAAGGTGGAAGCCCCCAGGGGTTAATTTGCTCACATAGCTCTCAGCTGACTCAAAGTCTCACCTGTAGGGCGTCCCCTCCACCCCTTGTCTTTTGATTTTACCCTTGAGAACCCCAAGACTCAAAATTGGGCCTGCTTCCTGGGCCTGGAGGTTTGCAGAAACGGCCTCTGTGGCCATTCTGCTGTGGCCTGTCTCACGCTGTTCCCTGTTGTTACCTTGACTATTCAGAAGACCCTTTTCCTCTCCCTCCCCATCCTGGGCCTTTGAGATCCTCTGCTCACCCAAAAGAGACTTTTCAAGATGGTGGGTGGGAGACAAGAAGACTTAGCAGAAGAACGCTTGAGGGGCCTAACTGGGGCTAAGATGCTGGGAAACTGAGGTGGGGACCCTGTCTGAACTTCTGTTTGTCCCTGAGGGCCAAGTAGAGAATCCTCTGTGGGTGGGAATTCTGGCCTGGAAGAGGCCTTCATTGGGCACCACTTGGCAGCACACAGACTTCCTTGTGCCTAGAAGGCCTACCTGGCTTCAGGTCTTCAGGTTGGTTACTTGGCAGGTAAAGTCTGTGACCCTGTAGGAGGGCAGTGGCCACTCACCTTCTCGCTTAGTTCCAGCCTAGAGAAGGGGCATTTGTTGGGGATTCTCATGAGGCCACTCCTGGGGAGTCAGTTGCTCGGTTCACTGCTAACCTAAGAGGTTCCCTGCCCCAGCCTCTCCTCACGCCAAAGGACAAGGGTTGGAAAGGGTGGAGACAAAGCCCTTAAACTTTCAACTTAGCCCCACCCAGTCTGAGCCTAGGACCTCCCTTTGGAGCTAGCTTGTACCAGATCGGCACCGGGACCCTCCACCCTCTCCTTAGCCACGGCCTGTGCAGCACAGAGCCCAGCTTCGATGCTGGGCCTCGCTCCCCCGGCCTCTGCATGCTGCCCCTCATGCCTGCTTTCTCACCAGCAGTACCCAGGGCAGGATGGCAGCTACCACAGCCACCACGGCAATGAGGGTGATGAGCAGAAGGGCCCGCGAGCGGCAGCAGAAGGAGCGGGTGGCGCTGGGAGCTGGGGATGCCTCAGAGATCTCGGCCAGGCTGCGACGGGGCAGCACACTGTCTTGTTCACCCAGTGGCATCCCATGGCGACTGATGATGAAGACCTGTGACTCCCGGGGTAGGGTGGGCAGCAGGTCCAAGGGGAGCTGAGTCCCCTGGCTTGAAGATTGTCTCCAGACCTGCTGGGAGACAGCCAGGGGGTTTGTGTGGCCCCCACGGTCTGGTGAAGGCACGGAGGGCAGGCCCACGGGCACCGTCAGGGTCTGGGAGCTCTTATCCAGCATGGAGGGCCAGCGGGAGCTCTTCTTGCTGAGGAAGGTGACGTAGCGGCAGATGGGACAGACAATAGTCCTCTGCACCTGTCCATCCACCCGGGTAGAGAGCAGGTACTTGACCAAGCAGTCGTGACAGAACACATGGCCACAGCTCAGGGTCCGGCTGGCACCCTCTAGATCCCGGAACTTCTCATAGCACACAGGGCACTCACTGCCCGAGCTGTCCTTGCTCTCCCCTTCTGACATGGCCCCTCAGAGGTAGCAGGCCTTAGCTGGGGACGGGAGGACAAAGGGTCGTGAACATCTGGGAGTTGTTCCTCCTCCCCCAAACCCCTTCCTAACTCCCACTCACGTCCTGACTCCACCTGTTCTTTCTGTTGCTATCTCTTCTTTCTCCTACTCTTTCTTTTCTGGTTCTCCTCGGAGGCCTACCTGGATCCATAGAGGGGTTGTGCAGGTCCTCCTGGGCTGGCAACAGGAAATAAGTAAGAGATCCTAACAGCACTAGGCTTGGGTAGGAAGTGTGTGGAGTGGGGTGAATACCTGAAGTACCAGATGCCTCACCACAGCTATGACAAGCCCTGTTGATGTCCTCACCTCTTCCTGATTCACAGCCTGACCTGGCTGCCAGGGCAAACAGGGGCTAAGGAGATACAGGTGCACAGGCAGCCTTAGGCAGTGTTTAGTTTGGGCCTACCCTGCACACTACAGACTTCAGACGTCCCTCTCATCAGGGCTTGGCTGATCTGTGGCTGATCTAGGATTCCACACCTTATCACCGCTTCCACGACTCTGTTCTCGGTGGCCATCATAACTATAAAGCAATAAAAAAAATTAAGCTCAGAACTTACACATGCAAATGCCTGCTGGGCCCTGAGTGGTCACACACCAGCCATGTTCAATCATTCTTCAGATTCTCCTCCTGTGGTGACCAGAGGCGTCAGGATTCCGATTAACCTCAGTAAAAGCAGATTTTCATTCCTGGAGGGTGTGTCTGATAGTTAGGAAACAGCAAAATCACTGAGATCTGAGTCTGGTGGAAAATGAGTGGTCAGAGTCATAATATTGCTTGAAAGCGAAGCTATGGAGTCACTCTGAAGTTCGCAGTGGGTTTCAAACCAATCTGGGAGGGAACGGGAGACCCAGCAAAGCTCTCAGCAGGACTGAGGGTGACTTTGAAGGGGAAACCTACTTGGATGTGGGCTGAGTCAGAATTGTTACATATATGTTACACGTGTCTCTGGTATCACAACTATGTAGCCTAAACTTATCCAGAACAGCCTTTTGGGAAAGAACCAGATAACTCTCACTGACATCTGGTGCCACCGGTGACAAAGACTGACATCCCAAGAGCCACCAAGGACTGTGTGGCTGTCCTGAGCTCTGACAAATGCATGACAGAAACAGGATTAGCTACTGGTAGCAAGGATCTGGGAAGATCACACATTCACACTCCCTTCTCTTTGTTTAGTTAAAAATTCCCTTTGCTGAGTTGAAAATGTACTAATATTAAAAAAATAATTAAAGGGGGTGGTGATGGGACCTGGCGCCATAGAAACAGTACCAAATCTTTGTGGGGGCTTCTTTGGTTTCTGGGGGGGGGGAGCTAATGTGGCCACTAGGCTAGGAGATGGGGGTTAAGCACTCAGATGGCTGAACTGGATTAAATGCCTTATCTGTTGTATTATTATCGATTACAGACATTGCTACCTGTTAACCTCGGTCAGGCTGTTTAGCTCCCCTGAGCCCCAGCTTCTCTGTAGAAAGAGATTGAGAGCTGGAGCATGGTGGTCCATGCCTTTTACACAGCGAGTTCCAGGATAGTCAGGGCTGCATAGTGAGACCCAGTCCCAACAAAACGAACAGAAAAGATGAGGTTGACAATAGTGCCACCTTCCTCCCAGAACTGGGGTGGTATTAGCGAATAAAGAGTATGACACCCAGTGACAAGGGAGAAGAGCAGGGCTAAGACAGCTCAAATCTGCGAGGTGATGGCGGCAGACACTCACGGAGGCACATGTAAGTTCAAGGCCAGCCTGGTCTATAGAGTGAGTTCCAGGACAGCTAGAGATACACAGAGAAACCCTGCCTCGAAAAACCAAAATCAAAACCAAACCAAACCAGCTCAAATCCTTTCTTTTCTCCTGGAGGGGCCTAGAGATCCCTGTTGGACATCTCGTCTGCAGTCACACCCCTTGACAAAGGACAGCTCTCCTCAAAGTAGGGTAACCAGACAAGATGACGATAGACTAGGTAAGTGATAGGCAGTAGATGAATTAGGATAGCGATGGCAAGGTCTCAGATTTCTTTCCTTACAGATGGGCAAAGTCTTAACGGAATGGGCTGCTATCAGGATGATTTAAAAAAAAAAAACCACAACCATCAACCAAACTGTTCCTCTGCACTGGATAACTCCCCAAGAGATACGGCGGCAATTCTTTCTGTCTGCTCATTCATCCATCTGTCCATCCATCAGACTTCAACGCTATTTGCCACGCTCCCGCTATTTGCCAAACTCTGAGACTCACAGTGCCAATAGAGTGGTCTCGAGGTCCTTCACGAAGCCTAATGGACATTCATGAATTTTCCTTTCCTTTCTTGTTTCATGGAGACAGGGTCTCTGTAGCCAGGTTGGCATGGAACTAGACTGTCGCTAAGGCTGACATGAACTCTTAGTCCTCCCGCCCCTGCCTTCTGCCCACCGCATGCTGTGAAAACAGGCATGTACCTCCATGCTTGGGTATGAGGTTTTGTTTTTTTAATTTTTAAATAGATTTTTTTTTAAAAAAAAAGGAGGACTGATGATCAGTAACAGTTGTTTGGATAACTGAGAAGTGGAGTTCAAGACAGGCGGGAGAGCAAGTACGACAGAAAGAGCGTGACGAGAAAGCCGGCTTCAGTGTCGTTTAGACAAAACTTCTAGCTTTATAAATTAAGGTATTCAGCTTTCAAGACGGGGGAGGGGTGAGCGTGTGACTCAAGGTCACCTGGCTGGCGATCGAAGAGAGAAGAGAAGAAAGACTCCATGGATGAGGCAGCGAACGTTATTAGGCCCTGTTGATAGACTGGGTGAGTAGACGTTAGCCAAGGCAGGAAGTCATACTAAGACTGACGGGGGAGGAGGAGTTCTAGGAAAAGTCAAAAGGCAATCCAGTGAGTGTCAAAGACATTCCAGGTCCCTCTCCAGCCCTCTCAGCTCCATGTGCCTTGGGAAGCCACCCCATTCAAGCTTGGGCAACGCCTGTCCCCCCATCTTCTCAACTTCACTGCTCAGTGTTTTCCTGACCTCTCCTTCCTCAGTTTCCCCTTTCTCTCCATCCATCCCATGCTGTCCATGCTGAGTGCTCTAGCGGGGGCCTGATTCTGTCTTGAGAGCTGGGGTATGAGAGAGCACAACATACAAAATACTAGGAGCATGCTGTCGCCGGGGCACAGAGGGGTAAGTACCACTGTAAGGCACTTGATGACAAAGACACCCACCTTGGTGTCTTTAGGAAGGTGCGGGGGGGGAAGAGGAGGATGGAGACATCTTCCTGGCTAAAGGGAGACCAGTGTTGAGCTAGCAATAAATAATTACAACAGCGGCCATTTATTGACCACTAATTACGTGTTTGGCTTTTCAAATCCCTTCCTCACCAAATCCCAACAAGTTTGGGAGGTAGGTATTATCTCCATTTTACAGACGAGGAACCTGAGGCTACGGGCTCCAGTAACTTGGTCAAAGTCATAATAATGCCAGTATAGGGAAGACCCAAGGCCTGAACTTAGGATGGCTTAGCTTGACAGCCCGGAGGATGTATCCCCGTCTCAACTGGGGTTCAGATGGGCCTCCACAGAAGGCCTTTCAGATGCCAGTAGATGATGCAGCCCCAGAAGAAAAGCGACTACCCTGGTTCTCGAGCGACCCTAAACGAGGCTGTCCCTCCGGCTATTTATGAAGCGAGGAGAAGAGAGTGCTTGGCTGAAGGGAGCCGGCCTCACGGAGCTCCTGTATCCATGATTCTTTACAGGAACATCATATTTCCAGGGTAGAGATGAGGAACAGGTGTCACCCATCCAAGCGCCCCCCCCCCAAGAGACAGAGTACTGTTTCTAGACACCTGTGGTTCCCTCCCAGAGCCCTAGTGCAAGCCAAGCAGTTTCAGGCAGGACTGTCTCCCCACCCATAAGCAACACACACAATTGCTTCCTCTCTCCTTTCTCTCACACATCACTCCAGCCTCAGTTCACAGCATTGCCGCTCTTCTTCCTCCACCCGGGCCAGCATCCCCCCTCTCCCCCGCCCCGTACCTGAGAGAGTGGTGTCCGGCTGCCCAAGGCCTCCACGGAGGAGCAGATGGAACCACCCAGAGGCACTGGGCTGACAGCCGCTGTCACTCTGCCGGCTGGGGAGGCATTTCCTAATGACTGAGCAAGTCGGAGGACAGCGCAGGGAAGTGAATGCTGCCCAACCCGTTTGAGGCCAGGGGTTGGGCAGTTGCTGGTGTCAGGTGATTCCAACGAGGATGCTAACTGAGGAGCCCTGGCCTGAGTCAGAGGGTCTCACTGTGGAAGCAGTAACCCAGGATCCCTTTGACAGGGACTTCCCTGGCCAAGGGTCCCCCATCCAACTGTGGGAAAAACCACACATAGGGATCCCCACCTCTGACCCTATGCAGAGTAAAGGGGACAATAGGTCAGAGCCTATGTAGGCTGTGACACCCAAAGTCCTACCCCAAGTTTGCTGTGATGCGCCACGTGCAACTGTTATTCCTTAAATAGAGGGGTGCCAATAGACCCACCATTGCCAGCATAAGCAAGCATAAGCTGGTTTGGGGGAACCACTGTGAATGTCCTAAAGTAAATTTGGACAATAATGGCTGACAACATTGATTATGAATTTCAAAATATCTAGTAGGGGTCTTTGAAGATTCTCAACATGAAGACATAGTTTATCATTTATATCTGAGTTTTTGGATTTGTCAGTCACGCTGATCTGATCATCAAAGATGCTATACACATATCGAAATGTCACGCCCCGCACTCAACCCGCTTACATGTGTACAATTATGTAGTAATTGAAGATTAAAAATTATTAAAACAATGTTGAGGAGCCTGGGGATGAAGATCAGTAGGTCAAGTGTTTGCTCAGTGTGCATAAAGCACTGGGTTTGACGCCCACCTCTGTATAAGCCAGATGTGGTAACACCTGTATGCAGTTCCAGCACTCAGAAGGTAAAGACAGAGTTGGGTGGTGGTGGTGGTGCACACCTTTTATCCCAGCACTCGGAGGCAGAGGCAGGTGGATCTCTGTGAATTTG